TCAGCAGATACTGCCAAGTAGGTCTCCTTTCAGGCTTCCACAGCTCTTGAGCAACACATTTTGTGCTGACCACGTAACATGCCGCAGGCGTTTTCTTCCCCTGTGAGCTCCCCCTCAAATTCCCTTGCAAATTTAAGAATTAACTTCTTTATTTCCTGTCTCTGCAAGCAATGTCAGAGGCCATGTAAACAACTTGCCAAGGGTCAGGGACCACAGCTTTATACAGTAAGTACATAGGTAGCCTGCATACCTAGATAAAAAATAACAGGATGCTATATATGTGCCTGAGTTGCATCAGCACAGGGCAGATTTTCAGAGTGGAGAATTGCCCTGAGGCAATTCAGGTTACTTCTGTGACTCAAAGTATTGTGGGAAAGTATTATTTCATTCTTCCCATGCATTTGTATTTTTTCTGAGGCCTTTCTAGGGGACAGGATATCAGACAAATCTGGCCTGATGCAACTGTTCTTCATCCACTACCGTCCTGTAGGCTGGGGGCATATGGTGTCCCCTGGCTCTCCTATGGGAAATAACTAGATGACCATTGCAGGTCCCTTTCAACTGAAATAGTCTAGCCTAGTCTTGTCTAAAAAGGTGTCTGGGCTGCAAACTAATGCTTGCCCCTGTCTGCAATTCTCCTGGCTGATTTTCTTGTAGTCCCTCAACCCCCAGACCTTGTCACCACAGAGCAGGGCATTGTTAACACCTCTTATTTCTCCTTGACAGAGAACCTGTTCTCCAAATTCATATGCTTTGGGGCCAAATGCCCTCAGTTTCAGACATCAGGCTACCTCCATCAAAAATGAAAATGTAGACATGAAATGATGCTGTGTAGCATGCAGTCCCAAAGTCAGATGGCAGCTTCAAACAGTCATTTATGGCATATCATTTTCATATCAGCCAGAACTCATAAGGCACTTTCCAAACTCTCATAATTCCTTCTTTTTTTGCCAAGGGAGTTTAAGAGTTACACCCCACTATAAAGCTTAGCTCGTAATACTATGAAGCATTTCATCTCCCCCGCCTTATAAGAACAAATTGAGAATGCCACATTTCCCAGCAATAGAAGCTAACTCCAGCCAGCAAAATGAAGTATGTCTTTAGTAAAAATAGTAATTTCCTTTTGCTCTTCATTAACTATCTGAATCCTAACCAACCCTCCAAAGAATCCAGTGGTTTGTGTAAAATGGGGCAGTGATTGTGATTTGAACTCTGTTTCTACACAGCTGGAGAACATCTCCTTTTTCCTCATCCAGAAAAAGACAAGAAAAATATCAGAAATGTCATCTCTGTTCTCCCACTATTTCTTTCATTTGTGATAACGCTGGCTGACTTCTTCACTGAAGTTAAACAACACAGTGATTGGCTGATTTCATTATTTACAATGAAGATTGCACTTCACTCAGATGACAGGATGAGGTTGATACAAAGTATTTATTTAGCCTTCTAACATCTATAATGCCATGATGGCGTAGGACCAGCATGGATAAGTCTATGTGACCCCAGTTCTTGGAACAAGAGTAAAAACTGTCAGGGGATGGAAAAAAGTGTTGCCAGGATGCACTCCTCTCCAATAAAGAGATCTTGCCAGCATGGGGGTTTTTAAAGTGGCTCTGAAAAGAAAATATGTTTCTGAAAATGACTGGAGGGAAGAGGTAATATTGATTTTTCTATAACAGTTTGATCTACTACTCTTTATAAGAAAGCATTTAGTTCCTAAGTTTTCATTTGTGATCAGCATTAAGATCCCATCAAAATTAGCCTGTATCTATGTGAGCTACTGTGGTATATAACAGGGGTGGCAATCTTGATCCCCTTGTACTCCCTGTGTGCAGTGAGCACAGTGTTCAGTGAAGGAACTGTCCAGATTTCATGGTGCGTAGGCGAAGAAAAGAGCATGAAGAGCCTGCACTACAGTTCCTCTGCAAATATTTACAAAATGGACCAAGCTCAAAGCAAATATTTAAATATATTTTAGAAATATTTTTTTATAATCACTGCCTTTTTAGGATAATTTTTCTTCCAGAATTTGTCATTCCAGTAACATTTTTAAAGAGTATTTTTGCATTTTTTCCCACAATTTAGGGTTAATACATATCATAAGTTATGAGGGCTTTTTGCTGAGCTGAGAACCTCAGCTTCCTTATAGCCACTAATGAGGATTGTATTTTGCTTAAGTCACAAACTGTATACTTTCAACCACTGCTGAAATTAGGAGAATGTCTAATTGAGGTAAAGGTATCCTCCTAAGGTAACTTTTCTCTACTGAGAAGCACTGAACTGAATTTTAATGCTGAGTGCAACGTAAAATGAAAAAAGATTTATTCTAATGATTTTTTTTTCCCAAAACAAAAATATATGCATCCACGAGTGGCACATTTCTCCCAGTCTAGATATTTTCCAAAAATAAATAAACTGTTTCACACAGAATCTGCTCTGAATTTCAAAGACAGTTATGGAGAAGAGAACAGAGGACTAGATACTATATGCTTTTGCATAGGGCTGGTTAAACACTCTCAAAAAAAGAAATCTATGTCATAAAGGATTTCTTATACATTGAAAAAGGTATCAGTTTCTGACCATTTTTTATTCTTTTTTTTTGGTCTGTCCCAGAACATTAATAACCTTAATATGTTGATTTTGCTGGATGGGTGTTTTTTTTTATCTTAAACATGTTTTAACAATGCCATTCAGCATTCTGATAGGCAAATAAAGCTCTAGGAACAAAATGATAGAGTGAGATAATGCAACGGGTACAGTATCAGTTGCTCATCCCCTTAAAGACAGTTTTGTACCTGAGTAAACATTTCTCCAAAGCCAAATCATTTAGCTCACCAGAATTCAAATTTTCCCCATCTCCAGAACAGCTAATAATGTGGCTGATTCAAAATCATTTTCACTAACCACATTATCAATTCAATTTGGCTTCAGAATAAGCTGAGATAGTTATGTCTAAGCTTCCAAAAATTGCTATTTATTACTATAAAACAATACTTGCATGGCATGAGGCAATTGCCTTAAATTGAACTGGATACAATTATCATATGTGGCTATTAGAAACACAACTGCAAGTGATGATGTTAATATGAACCAAGACAATAAACTCTATGTTTGACAGTCACTGTGCTATTTCAAAATATTTTCTTTTCTGCAAGACAGCAATGGCACAAGAGGGTGCAAGGTCTTTTCACTGTGGTGACATTAGTGTGATGCGGCAGTTCAGATTCCAGACTTCTCATCACCATCTTCCTAGAGTTATTTATGATCACAGGAAAAATCAGGACCTCTAGAGCTCATCTAGTCCAATTTTCTCCAGGTCATTCAGGGGTTTATCATTATTTTGTCCTACATTGACTAAATGGAGTGTATATAAACTTAAAGAAGAAATTTACCTAATTGAAAAATCAGTCTCCAGTCAACTAGAAAACCAAACCCAAACACAGCAAATCCTGCCAAAAAAAAAATTAAAAGCATCAATTCATATTAGAAAAATATTTTTTTTCATGGCTGCTGCCTGTGAAATAGTTTGGTGGTGATGCCAATCGCTGTTACCTCACTGGCAGCAATGGCAGGTCCTTTGCTGTCTAGGATCTGAGGTGAAAATTTCAACTATTTTTCCTAGTGTGTCCTGGATAAGGTGCAGTTTAACAGTGTGTTTCTTGAGAAAACAACTTGAATGAAGCTTATGAAAGGAGAAAATTACATCAAAATTGCAGCCCTTTGAAAACTTCTAACAGCATGAATTCAGTGTATGGCAGTCCTGATACTATTCAAGCTCATGCAGACTAGGGATGGACCAGATTCAAAACATAGAATCCCCACCATGCTTATTTTGTGGTTCTGAAATGTGTTTCATGGGGTTTTGAAATACGGACCTGTGCAGATTTGGGGATAGAGGGGTATATAGGAGATGTCCCCTTTCCTACCTTGGCCAGAACTGACCAGGATTGGCCAATCTTTCAAAGTCAGCAACAGAAAGGTTTAATTTCTGGTGCTGTGAACTGAGAACTTAGCAGGCTAGGTTATGGCTATCAGCAACCTAATTCAAACCCTGAATTTGTACTTCTGTCTCTCATTTGCCCTCAGCTTTAAAGCCAAACGCTTATACAGCTCTAATCCAACTGAAAATTGTAGCTCTCTTCTAAACTTTTCCATATTTTATCCCCTCCTGAAATCCACTCTTCAAAGCTGTACCTTCCTAAATTTGCAGCAATGCCACTGCTTAAAATGTGTGTTAGCTATCTGCATTAAGTCCTTCAGGGAAAGCAGACTACAGCATTCACCCTGGGGTTTACAAACACAGCCTTCTTTTGTCTGCCATTAATGCAGTCCCACAGCTATGCTCAGCTCATGCAAGGATGCAGCATGTGCCAGCTAACAGTTTCCCCTTTCCTCCATTTCACTGCATGAGGTAAATATGTAAGTCTCCTTACTGAGAGAGGCGGGTTCTGTATTGTAACGGGACATAAAAGTAAGTCAAGTCTTACTTCAGCCTGAAGCACCTTTCAGGACCAATATTGCATCCCAAAGGCAGGCTTTCAGAGCCTGGTAAAAAGCATCTTTGTGGTTATCACAGTTTCCTTGCAGTACCTACAGGTACACAGTTGGTCCTGATTGTCCACACACTAGGTTTTAAAATGCTACCCTGTGTGCAAATGCTGTGTGCATCACCTGACCTGTATTCTGCTGGTGTGTCTGACCACTCTGATACGGGAGAACCACCCACATCACCACTGAGTCAAAAGATAAAATCCCCTGCTGCCCCCCTTTCCCTTTGTCCCCCCAGGGCAAAGGCACCCAGGCACAGAAAGCTCTGCAAAAGCTCTTGGCAGAAATGGTAACATTAGCAGAGAGCAGCTCTTGGGCCCTCCAGCTATGCGCTTTCTGAAGCATCAAGCATTCCTCTGGTGAGAAGTGGGAAGAACGGTGCCACACTTTTCTCCTCAGCACAACCATATAATGGAGGAAGAGATTTTCCTGTTAGCTCTCACTTCACTTACTTGACAGGCTGCAGCTGTGGTAATAAGTTGTTTCCAAGGTGAAAGAGGTGCCTAAGAGCTTTTGAAAATCTCTGTGAGTGTTTATCTGCACACCCTTGGCCACCAAGCTAGGAGACTTCCTCTGGAGGTCACCTTTGAACCACACTCATCAAGCGCCTTTTCTGGGGAGGTATATGAATGAGTGCCATGCGCTGTTAGGGTGAAACCATGGGGATCCTGGAAAAAGCTCTGTCCTACAGCATCCGCCAGCTCCCCATTTCATTTTGTGTTAGAAAACACATATTCTTATAGCTGGGGAAAATAGAAAGTAGTGCGGTAGTAGAAATGAGAAATAAATTGTGTGCATTTGTCAAAAAGTGGAGCTTTCTGTTTCCTTGGAAACTGAAAGTTTTGTGGGTTTATGGTATTGTACTCAGCAGAGAGTGCCTGAGACCTGTGTATGTACGTACATGGCCACAAAGGCCCGGCTCTCTTGGCTGAAGGTTTCAGTATCCACCACATGTTTGGTAAAACACAGCTAAAAGGATTTCTCTGACTGGGCAATTCAGAGACCATAATGGTGGGAAATATTTTTTTCAGCAAAAATAAATGCAGCTACAGGAAGAGAAAAAGAGTTGAAATCTTCTCCACTTAGTCACCTGTGAACTTTGTCTTTCTTTTATTGCAGAATGGAACTATGGCCAGAATCCAGTTTTGGCAGTTTTGTGATCCTCCTCTAAGTGGTCAAAATACCAGCGAAACCTTCTCCTTTCATCTCTCGACAGAAACAAAACCTAAGACTTAGTAATTACAGCATAACCATACTGCACATAAGTAAGACAAAAAGTTAACCTCATTAAAGCAATATTTAAGAAACCAGCAAATTGTAAAATCCTTAGAGTCAGGGACAGAACCACCAAGGCTCACAGAAATAACATCCTGCCACCCTTTGGCTCCTCAGGGCTTTCAAACTCATAGCACTTTTCTTATAAAACCCCTCCACTTCCAGTTATCAGACAAGACAAATCTAGTCTATGGATTAAGCATTTGCTCAGAACTACTTCTCCCTCTAAGGCCATAACACCTCAAAGCTGTCAGCAACACTTGTCACCAAATATTCACTACACTCAGAGATAGAAATACATTCAGCTTTAACAAGGGCCAGCAGCAGTTTGGGAACGTTTCTCTTGGCGCAAGAGCACTTTTCCCCAGCAGCTGTACAGCCCAAGGTGTCAAATAGTTTTTCCAGGCACCGTGTTAAAGCCTGAAAAATACAATTTTGATTTCCATTCGTTTTGGTGCATCGCTTCACCACTCAGTGTTTCAGCTCGGTCTGCAGGAAGACTGTGAGCAGGTTTCAGTAAAATTAAGATTTAAAGCCTTAGGGGCAAAGCATATAGTTAAAGGATGCAACAAGGGAACCGCATACTCAGTATGGAGGAAAAAAGCCAAAACAAAATTAATATATGTTCTCCTTTTCACCAAGATATGCATGTCCCAATCCTTAGCACATTATTTCTGGCCAATAGGTTTGTCACCGCTCCCCCAGGGGCAGAAGGGATGTCTGTTCACAATAGCCACGATAGCCCGGGTGTAAAGATTTTAGGGGAAAAATAATGAAAATTGTTTCAGACCCAATCCAAACATACCTGACACCTTTTACACTACATGTAGGAGAGAGTAGGACGCCAGCTTCCAGCTGCAAAACTGGAGAACAGATGTTTCAGCTGTATCATGGACACAGGTGTGAGGACTTAAAACTGGAAAACAATAAAGGGAACATTCATCCAAGTAAATTGGGGGTAAGGGGGGAAGGGTTGGTAGGCAACAGACTTCTGACATCCTGGAAAATTCTTGAAACAACACTGTGTCTATCGGGGCTTAAAAATTAGTTACTACATTTTCACAATCGATTTACCACCAATTTGAAGGAGCTCTACAATTGCTAATTTATGGTAGCTAACTTAAAGAAGCTAACCTAACATGATTTATCGAAAGCTGGGGCCAGCGGCAGTGCTCTGGGATTACCACACAGCTCTGCCTGTTTAGCCAGACCAGCCAATGCTTCATGTAGTCACAGTTCCCCTCCTTTTGGACAGTTGTCACCTGAGTGGCCTGTCAGGAGCTACGTGAGAGGGAGGACTTGGTGACAGCTCTAATGCCTGAGAATGAGAAATCTATGAAGCTTTTCACACCCTCTCCCACCAAAACCCAGCCAGACCACAGCTAGGAGGAACTGTGACTTTATTTAATCAATGGCTTTCAGCTGGGTTTCATTTCTAAGGCTGGCTTCTCAAGGGCGCTAACTAGAAACGTGTTTGCAAACCAAAATGAAGAGTCTTGAGTAGGTGCCTGTAATGACAGGGAAGGTGATTGTCACCAAACCCCAGAGGTGAGCAGTGTTTGGAGGTGCTCGTCACACAAGAGGAGCAGTAATACCACTAATAGTACACACCCAAAACCATGAACACTGCTTTTCTAGTCCTTCTCTCACCACCAAATGTTGCCAGAGCAAGACAGGTTCTACCATGGTCCACCACAGCAGAGGAAGAGACTTCTCTGGGCATTTGATAGTGCGTCAAACTGGAAAAGACATTAAAAAAAATATGCAAAAATTCCTGCAAAGAGTTTTTGACCAGAAAAAAACAACCAAACAAAACAAAACAAACAAAAAACAACAACAACAACAACAAAAAACAGAACAAAAAAACCCAAACAAATGAATCTACCAGCATCTAACAAAAAGATGGGTTTGCTGTTTTCCTCCAGAAGGGCATTCAAAAGACTCACTGGGCCAGTTAACAAAATTTCCCTCTCCTCTAAATGCAGGATTGAATTGCACAATATAAAGCTTCACATTTTTCCTTTTTGTGGATAACTCTGTATGGCATTAAGTTGTTTGACAGCCCTGACAGCAATCCTTGCATTGCAGGTAGCACAGAAACATCAATTTTAATTCAGCATTTTATATGCAATAAAATTCGAAGCTCCTGTACAGGAGGATCTTCTAGAAGCCTTTCCTGAGGAAAGAATCAGCAGAACTTGTATGTGAAGGGATAGTGTCAAGGTGTGTGATATTGCCCTGGAAATCAGTCTCTGATGTGTATGTTTATTATGTACGTATAAATATTACATATGTTTATACACGTAAACACACACATTTATTTCCAACATTAAGGTCATTACGTTACAGACATTTACACTTCCAAAGCTGATTTAATCCTCTTTATGCTATTCTTGTCAAGCCTCACAATGTCTTTCCAGAAGTTGTCAGTGCCGGCTGAACTATGTCGTTGAACTAGTTTCCAAGATGAATTCAAATATTCATGCAGGAGAGGAAAACAGATTCAAAGTCAGCTTCTAAATTGCAAGATGACAGATATTTCTTTTCATATATAGTCAAACATATCAGCCAAGGGAAAAACAGAAGGGGACTGGTAACCTATGCTAACATTTTGGACCTTCCCCTGATGCCACATTTGGCTGAGGATAACCATCAAAATTGCGAGGTGGATTGAGTCAGGTTTCCACTATGTAAGCATTCTGTTTTCTAAAGTGCTGCAGTTCAGAAGTCTCTTTAGTAGGTGGGTTTAGGCCAACTCAGCTGTACTGCAGAGTGCTATAGAAAATCTGTCTCAGCACGATCTCAGGAATCCAAACCTAGGTGATCCTCATCACAGTAGCTAGCGCTACTGTGAAATGAATAACAGAAACCTTGCTCATTACTTCTTTGATGCACAGAACAGGACTTTTCCTGTCGGGTTAAGTGGTCTATTCATGTGCATAAGACATTGTGTCAACCAATGCTATAAAAACCAATAGCAATGAAGAGTGGTGCCTGTTGTGTGAGATGATGTGGTTTGAGGCTTGCCTGCCACCACATGCTTACCAGAACTCTGGGCTGCCTGGAGCACCTCTTCCAGTTCTGCATCTTCTATTCCTGGCATTTGATTTTCTTTTACCAGCTTTTCTAGAACATCACGTGGGTTTTCTTCCTCTTTATACTGCTTCTTACTACTTGATGTCTCCTCCTCTCCTGCCTCAAAGTCCTCCCATGAGTGCTGACAGCAGTTTCCATCCGATAGCGACTATTGTCCCAACTCTTCAGCCTCTCATTCTTAGTGGCTGCAGCAGCCAGGATGACTGGGTGCTGTAAACAGTACAGCCCCAGTATGGAGAGTAAATCTCCAAGATGCACATTTTCCCTCTTTTGCTGGGCAAAGACAGCGTCTCCAGTCCTGCTTTTAGCTTCACTTGACTGAGTATCACAACCCCAGCCCTGGAAGTGTTCAAGGCCAGGTTGGATAGGGCTTTGAGCAACCAGGTCTAGTGGAAGGTGTCCTCCATGGAACAGGGATAGGAACTAGATGATCTTTGAGGTCTCTTTCAACCCAAACCATTCTATGATTCTGAGTGAAGGCTTTTGTCAGTTTTGCAGATATCTTTCATTCTCCTTCCAGGTATAAATCCAAGATGTCATACTTTGAAGTATCTTTCTTTTCAGCAGTGTATTTACACAAGCTCTTTTCTTTTTCCTGACAGTTACTCAGCTCTAGGGAAAGAAAGCACTGCAAGTAGACTTTGAAAATTATTTTTCAAAGGTCCATAAAACCATGATGTGCAGCAGATTTTTGGCATTTTTTATTGTTGTTTGTATGCTTTATTCTCTTTACAGGGTGAAAGACTTGGTTTGCAAGAGAGATACATGTCTGCAAACTTAGCATGCTCAGATGGGAAACTCCCAAATATGAGTCTGGGGGCTACTTCAGGAAGTCCATTTCTGAATAGACTGCTCAGCTTGGAGAACTTGGTAGCATGCCAGTAACACTAAGTAATGAAGAGCTCTTGTGTGCCTTGCTGAAGGCATCTCTGCTTTACAATCCAGAGAGTGAGGGTGGCAGAATTTATTGAGTCTTTGTGTAAGTGTATTGGCCTTCTGTTTTAGCTTTTCTGTTTGGTTGCTTCTGAATGGGTACAACAAATCAGATGGACTAGGAAGTGGAAAAATAAATACATCACACACCCTTATGCAATTTAAGTGGAAGCAGCATCTGATAATAAAGACTGCAGCTTAATGAGTTGCATCTAACATGCACTTATGTCTGTGAGTGCCTCAGC